TGAACAAAACTGACCTGATACTGCTCTCTTGCCGGCTATATTCAGGTGGGTAACTGTGTTGATCTGAAGCAGCAGAACAAAGTTTGAGTCCAGTGACAGTTTTAACACCAATAAAGTTTTATTCAAGGACACGAAAGGACATGCAGACAAAAACTTATGCCTTGAAAAAACTTTGTTGGTTTTAAAGGTGCCACTGGGCTCAAACTTTGTTCTCTTGCCAGCTAGTTACACTTAATTATCTTACAAATGCCAGTGTGAGATCTGGAAGGTTACTTGGGTTAATAAGCTTGCTTTTTTTGCTTATGGGTGACTAAGTATTGTTTAGTTAACTTGAGAGGGAATTTTACCCATTGTGTCTGCAACATTAGAGTCAAAAGATGATTACTAGTGATGGGCACGAACTGGGAAAATGGAGGTCTCATGAACCACGAACCTTCCTGTTTAATGAACCAGTTCATTATGTGGTAGAGCGCACCCCCCGCATTGGCTAGAGATGCCAAACTCACCTCGAGTCTCCAGCTGATTCTTCTCTACCCTGCCCTCCAAGTTTGATGAGGACTGGATTTAGGTGGGATGAGTTACAGCTCCCCTAAGCAGGTGCCCCCAGGAAAGTGTTCTCTGGGGAAATCACAGCCACAGGTTCAGAAGTGTGTCAAATGCCCCCTCGCAAGCTAGACACATCAAACTCACAGAGGGCCTCTCCAGGAATTCCCTCTACCTGCCCGCCAAATTGTGTGCAGATTGGCTTTGAGGGGGCCAAGTAGCGGCCCCCCCAAAGCTGGTGCCCCCAGGAAAGTGCTCTCTGGGGAAATCATAGCAGCCACAGGTTCAAGAGTGTGTTGATCTGAACAGACTCCCTACAAGCTAGAGGCATCAAACTCACAGTGGACTTCCTCAGGATTGCCCCTCTACAAAAGGGAGTGAGTTACTGGGGGGAGGTCTAGTGCAGGAGGGGGGTGGCAAGTTGGAAAACCAAGTTGATGGGCAGGTACAACAAGGGCTGCTGGTGATGCCAAGTCCACCTCCCCAACAATGCTTTGACAATTAATTGATCGGCGCCAGCGTGTCTGGTTCATGAACCGTCACTACTAACCTAATGAACTGCCATGAAATGCATCGCAGTTTGTGGGTGACACGATCTCATGAACCGAGGCCTCATGAACTGGCCATGTTTGTGACGAAATTAGGTTCGTGGTCATCCCTAGTCATGACACCCCCTTCCAAGAATGTGCAATGGCCTTAGAAGCAAGCAACTACAGCTGCTACTTTAATCCTTTGGAAGGCAAATCCATCAGCAAGGTCTTTTTAAAGGTATGAAAGAAACAGCCTTGATGTTAATGGTTCCTTATTCTCTCTATGCACAATCACTCTGATCCTGTTCTGTCTGTACTAAAGGGTGGGGAAATTATTGTGGTCTGAAAATTACATCTACTGGTGCTGAAAAGGGGAAGAACTGCTGACCAACTGGGTGTCCTCAAAAGGGGTTGGAGACCTAGCAGTGGTCACCTCTCCCACTTAGCTGCACTTAATAGCACTTAGACTTGAGCCAGTTTAGAGTTTTTAGAAGCATCCGTCTACTACCTGCTGCTTCAGTTCAGTGGACCAATGCTCCTAATAATGTCAAGCAGTTTGAGGTTCCTGTGGGCAGCTATAGCCCTTGACTGTCATTTGCCTACCTTTCCTCTCCCATCTGGAAAATACTTGGAATGGATAGTTGAATGTTAATGTTTGTGATGCAGCACTCAAACCAGGATGGTAATTTATGATCAGAAGATACACATGCATTCTAAAATATCCTGGGTCTTAAGCTAACATCACTGATGGGAGTGTTGCAGGAGCACTGACAACCAAGATTGGGGCAAATAAAATTATTATTTTTCTCTTAAGCAATATGTGGGTAGGCTACAGTGAATGTCCAAATCTTAGTAAATGTTGATTAGTTTTTCAGGTCAGTGTAAAGTAAAGGGGAATTTTTTCCCCATTGTTTTATTTCCATATGAGCATCTTACTTTTTTAGATACAAAAAGACTTCCAAGCTTGGACTTTTTCCTACTAGTTAAAGAAAATGTATGCTAAAAAGTATGCTTTATAAAGTAGCTGAGATGTCCATGGACATCTAAACGTGTACTTTATATATAATCACAGTCAATAAGCAATTTCTAATTTGTTAGCTATTGTGTGTGAACAACTGTCTCTAACATTTGCTTTGGTGTGAGTTGCTAAGTTTACCCTAACAGAAACCAGTGCATTGATAGATTACACAAACATAGGCAATTTTATTAAGTTTGCATAATTTATACAAATTTATATAATTTATACATAGTTCAAATTTTCTTGGCAAACCTTTCCCCCCAGTGCACATTATATACATAGCCCTGCAGTAGTCAGTCACATCTCTATGGCTAGCCATTCTACATGATGTGGAGGGACTGCCCTGTTTATCACTAAATGGATGCTTCTGGACAGTGTAAGCAGACACTTTGTGCTCAGTGGGACTCCTAGCCAGCCAGGTTTAGTGTTCTTAAAGGGATTCCCCAAGACTGAGCTGGAGGCCAGGCACTGTGGGTGGGTAAGCTGCTGATGTAGTAAGTAAAGGTAAAGGTTCCCTTGCTCGAAAGCCAGTCGAATCCGACTCTAGGTTGGCAGGAGCTGGAACTAGAGACGGGAGCTCACTCCGTCATGCGGCACACTCGGGTCTCGAATTGCTGAACTACTGACCTTCCACAGCCTGCAGTTCAGCGTCTTAACCACTTGAGCCACCGCAGCTGATGTAGTACGAAGGTGTTTAACCCAATTCTCATCAGGGGGAGACTGATGTTAAATGTTAATTCATCCTACTTTCTGAGCCAGCAAGGAGAAAGTGTCACATGATCAACCCATATTTATATAACACTAAGGTGAACTTAAAGGACAAAGTTTTCAATCAGGCTTGTAGGAATAGGAGGGGGCCCTCTGCTCCTGAAAACCACCACAGTGTATAGCAGAAGGGGTATAAATAAGTTTTCCCACACAGTTGGGCCTAAAGAAGTATGTGCCTGGCCCTGAGATGAAAATATCGGGCTGTCTCTTCAATACACATTCATTCTCTCATGCCTGGAACAGCTAGTGCTTCTCTCTCTCACACACACACAATTCCCACATCAGAGAATCCGAACTTGCTGACCCACAATAGGACCATAATAGTCAGCTGGCTGCTTTAGAGAGACGTTCTGAGGCTTTGTTACCCAGCCATTAGTTCACTATGTTATTACCACATAAAAGCAATGTCATGTGGCTATCATAATGGAGGACAGTATTGGGCTCCGGGCTCCTTCGTCCCATTTAAAATGAGTTCTGTTGGCTAGGAGGAGGAGTGGAGTGATGCCAAGAACTGCCATACTAGGTCGTGACATTATTCCACAAAGACCAGTCGTCTCACTTCTAGAAAAAGCATAATTGAAAGTATGCAAGGGGCTGCTGAGCTGCTACAATTGTGTCTGTTTCTTTATCATCTATCTAGCTCCAGCTTTTTTGGGCTGGAGAGTTGGCAATGGTGTGATTCTGCAGCAATTTCTCTGAGTTATGCTGGCTGTTAGCCATAGATAGGTCTTCTAACAGGTCAGACGGCTGCTACAGCACTTTCCATTTGGAACCTGCAGGTATCAGTTCCACTCGTGACCTACATAAAGACAGACAAAGGACTCCTGTGGAACAGGAAAGCTTTCACACCAAGAGAACCAAGAGTAGCTGCCCACTTCACTGTTGATAGAGCTTCATGATGCCAACCCGGTGCAAGCTCTTCCACAGCTCAGACTCTAACAGCATGTCATGGTTGGCATAGAACACCAAGGGCTTTTTCTCATGCTCATAGTAGTGGTCGGAGAACTTCCTGTAGTTCTCTGTGATGAACCCATAGGCACTGACCTAAAAGGAACCAGAGGTGACAGGATGAGTTAGAGATGGGATGATGCCCAGCCCTGCATGCCTCTAGCATGCTCACTGGCAGCACCCAGCACAAAGCAATATGGCACATAACTAAAAGAACAAAATGGATGCCCAAGTGGCTCATGTTTCAATTTTTCATGCATCTGTGGAATGTCTTGAAAGGCAACTTGCCCACCTCATTCCCTCCACAGTGAGAAGTGAGAGTTCTAAATGTGTGTGGAACTGGAATGTCATAACAGTGCATATCAGTGCCATCTGGCGATTACTTAGATGAATGTGAGAATCAACTTCAGGGACTTGCTTCAGTACTTCTGTGAAGACATGAAGGCCCTCAGAAATATTTTTAAATCTCAAGCCCCTTACTTTACCAGTTACTGGGAAGGTTATTTTAAGATTCTTACCTGGTCGCAGCTGTGCAGAGCTGTGAGAAGCATAAGTGCACCAGTGCTGGGCATGTAGAGATGCCCAAATTGAGTGTTTATTATTTCAGATCTTAAAAACCTGCAACAGACAAAGAAGTTTATAGCAGAAACTTTATCGGTTGTGGAAAAGGTCAGAAGAAAGCTTTAAAACTGGCTCTGTTGGTTGTAAGGCGTGGGCTACATAAACTGGGCAGATTTCAAATTTCCAGCCTACCCAGCTTCTTGACATGCTAGGATTCCTGAGGTAGGGCCGTTTTGAACGATTGCTTCTTCTCATGTGTACTAGCAAATGGTTTAATTCTGTGACAGGATACTACCACACCCCTTACAGTCCAACTGGCTCCCAGAAACCATGCAAGATATAAATGGGGTTTCCAGTTCTCAAAGGCAAATGGTTTTACACCCCTCACCCAACCGCACAAATGACTCAGTGTTTCATGAACCCATTGCCAGCCCAGCCCCCACCTAAAATTCCAAACTCTACAATCAGAGTATGAAGTAACCTCCTTGCTCATTCTACTTATGCAATTTATAAACATGAGCACCCTTCATGCCCTAATGCAAAAAGTGCAACTAATATATTTTATCTGTTTAATGAGCACTTGAGTCCGTTATAAACATAGACTTTGTTTAAAGGGTAAAGCTTTACCTCTCCATTAGATAGTGCAGGAATTCTGGATGCAGCAGCTTAAATTTGCCTACAGATGCTTCAGAGCCAAAGTATTTCTGTGGCCTGTATCAAGAGACCATACAAAAATGCTTTTCAGTCAGTAGTATTAGACAGCTCTCAACTGATCCCATGACTGGGGAATAAGTTGAGAATATAAGCTGAACAATGGTGCTACTTGTTAGGCACCTGGATGACAGACCTTGAATAAACCCATCTTCTATATATATAAAAGAAAGTCCCCTCACCGTAAAATCAACGTCCAGGACAAACTGCTGGACCTAGAAACACGAAATTCGGAGAGAGCACTCCTACCATGACGTAGATGCTCACTAAGAAGGGATTTTTTAGAAATTTGACCCCTAAGTAGGTAAAAAGGGGTAAAATGTGCTCCCCCCAATGATTCCTATGCAGCTGCCAGGCTCCGGCCTCCTTGCACCCCCCACTCTCTGCTTGGTCAGCTGAAGAGCTCAGTGTTCTGAGGGGGGAAAAACCACAACAGTTACAGGAGACTGCACAGAGCTCCCCTCCTACACGGGACAGGCAGCTGCCAGTCAGGTGTAGGAGAGGAGGTGGGATGCTTACAGCCACCGGGGAGGCTTGCTCAGCAGGATTGCCTTAGCCCTGCTGCTGGCCCAGCCTCCGTGATGCCTTTAAATACAATCTCCACCAACACCAGACAGGCAGGTGACTGTCAGGTGTAGGAGCAGGGCCAAGGTACTTTAATCTATCAGGGATGCCACCCCAGCAGGATCACCTTAGTGATGCTGCTGGCCCAGCCTCTCTAATGGCTTCCAACACACTCCCCCCACCTCCTACACCGAACAGGCGGTTGTCTGAAAGGTGCAGCAGCGGTTGCAGGGTGCTTAAAGCCACAAGGGAGCCTGCCCCAGCAGTAACACCTAAGTGATCCTGCCAGCCCCACCTCCACAGTGGCTTCTAATACTCCTCCCCCGTCCCCCTCCTACACTGGACAGGCAGCTGCCTGTCAGGTGTAGGAGAAGAGGTGGGATGAATACAGCCCTCGGGAGGTTTGCTCAGCAGGATTGCCTTAGCCCTGCTGCTGGCTCAGCCTCCCTGATATCTTTAAACATAAAACCCCCCAACACCAGACAGGCGGGTGTCTGTCAGGTGTAGGAGCACGACCAGGGTACTCCATCAGGGACACCGCCCCAGCAGGATCACCTTAGCGGTGCTGCTGGCCCAGCTTAGCCACACTCCCACTCACAATGGAAATATACCCCAAATTTGTAGAAACCTGGTTTCCTTGATTAGGTTATTTAACTTCTCACAATGTGGGTTCTAGAAAATTGGTTCATATGAACTTGCTTAATATCTGATTGCTCTGAGGGTGTTTTTGAATATGTAGTTATGTCCCAGTTCTAAAATGAGAAGCATTTTTGTAAAGAAAAGGGGAGGTATGCCCTCCCCCCCAAATTCAATGCCCAGACCAAACCCCTGCACCATGAAATGCAAAATAAGGGGAGTGCATTCCTACCATGAAATCAACCCCCCCCCCATGAAGAGATTTCTGAGAAACATGACCCCTAAGGGGGTAAAAAAAGGGGCAAAATGTGTTCCTCCAATTATTTTCCATATGCCTGGCAGGCTGCTGCCTCCTTGCCTGCCCCCTTCCCCAATTGGTCAATTGTATAGTTCAGAGCTCTGAGGTAAAACCTGCCTACTTGCACCCACCTCCCTCTGATTGCTCAGCTGTGGATCTCAATGTTCTGAGGTAACAACACAGTTAAAAGAGACTGCAGACAGTTGAGGACAGTTACAGAAATCAGCTATTCAAGACTCCTGAATAGACATTTTTCAAAAAAGCCAGCATGGCAATTGAGTTAATGAATGTTTATGGGGAGATAGTAAAGGACATTTCTGGGAGCCATTTTGATGTGTGCCTCCCTCATGAACCTGAAGAAATGTCCACCACATCACCACTCCCTCACACCAACTCCCCCTCACACCTCTCACCTCTTCCTGCCCCCAAGAAAGCGCCTGGCAAACGTCGAGCCAAGTACACCAACGCTACAAGGAGGAGGCAATTTAGGAATGTGGCAAAGACATTTGCACACAGTACTCCTGCAGGGCAATGAGCTGCACAGGCCAAGTACGAGCAAGATCACCCTGAGGTGCTCAGAACAACACAGTCTCCATGAACAAAACAATCCAGGAACACAAGTAGAGAGGCCATCACTTCTGTGGAAGGTGGCAGGAGTTGACTTAACAGATGACTGCTTCTTAAATGGACAGTTCTATGTGGCCTGCTCCAGAGTGAGCTCATCAAGCAGTCTGGTGATCCTAGCACCTGAGGGCAGAACCACCAATGTGGTCTACAGAGAGGTCCTTCAGTAGAGAGAGAGAAAAGTACTTATGTCTCGCTTCATTTTTTACACTACAGTCTTCTCCACTAGAATTCCTACAACAAATGTTACATTTCAGACTTCACATAATCAGTATTATAACTGTATTTACAGAACTTAAATACCGTAGCGATGCACGGGTAACAGGCTAGTAGTAAATATATCTAGATTTCAAGGCAGGTCCCAAGACATTTTGTTACCTGAGACAGAAAATAAAAATGAATTCTCCTTGAGGGGCAGAAGAAAGCAGGACCAATCTATATATCTAATAACGAAGGCGCCCCCTGCATGAGGATATCTAAATCTGCACATTGGGGGCACCTCTGGGGGGCAGGGAGATTTCCCTGCACATCTGGGGCAATCACCGGATGTGCAGAAAAATCTAAAAACTGTAAAAAAAAACTATAGGGGAGATACTGAAATCCCCCCAAAAGTAAAAGAGCGTCCCCTGTGCATGCGCAGGGAACACTCTTGGAACGGCGGCGGCGGGGGGAGGGGTGGGGGGAGAAGGCTTGGCCGACCAGCGAGGCCTCGCCGCCGCCGCCACCGGGGTAGGAAGGAGAAAGTTGGACAGGCCGACGAGGCCTCGCCAGCGAGGGGGGGGGGGGGGGGGGGGGG